GGAAGGAAGGAAGGAAGGAAGGAAGGAAGGAAGGATACTCCCTGCAAGCTTCACACAATGAAACTGAAGGGCAGGAAGTTGCTCCCACTCCCACTCTCATTGCTTTCCCCCCCACCTGTTTCTGTGTGTGGGTAAAGAAGTGTCTCTGAAACGAAGACACAATAGGGTACCAAGGGCCACTGCTCTTGAGATGTGGAAGAAGAAAGAACCAGGGTATTGAATTTAGTTTTTCCATTCTTATTTGGGAATTCTTTCCTTCCCTTTCATTTTGTATTGCAGAAAGTGGATGTCACCAGTAGGGCCGTGATGGAAATAATGACGAAGACAATTGAATATCTTCAACCCAATCCGGGTATGTCTACTACAATTTGAATCAGAGAATATTTGAATTTATGGGGCATTTCAGATAGGTTACAAAGAAAATGTTGCCCAGATCTCAGCTCGTTCATTCATTCTCTCTCTCTCTCTCTCTCTCTCCCCCCCTCCCTCCCTCCTCTCTCTCTCTCTCTCCCCTCCCCGTTTCAATGGCAGCTGAAAACAAATAGCGAAGCAGAGGCTGACACTTATTATAGTGCTTTTCTAGTTAGGAGTTGCACCAAATGCATTACAGAGGAGGACATCTGAATCAGTCTCATTTATATTTGAAGACCTTTACCCTTTATCCTGAAACGGATGTTTAAGTTGCTGAAAAACAAACCATAATAGATGATATAGTCATATTGTGTTTGTTTCGTCAATGACCACTAGCAACTATGCATGCTTCCTGGTTCAACAAGCAAGGTGACATGGACAGGTTGTTCTTTCCTTAGTTTCTTCCATCTGAAAAAAAGAGAAAATTTTTCATCTACGTTTCTCTAAGTGTATCAATATTTTGACTATTTACAATCGTGTCCACATATAGTGTCCTTGTTGTGAAATCCCAAAGATGCTTGACCCAACGATTTCCAAATATAAGGGTCACACTGATCAATTTTCTATTTATCATTTTTAAGGGATGCTAAGCCCAGACTCAAGGGATGCAGTGGCTCAGAGGCTAAGATGCTGAGCTTGTCAATCAGAAAGGTTGGCAGTTTGGCGGTTTGAATCCCTAGCACCGCATAACAGAGTGAGCTCCCGTTACTTGTCCCAGCTTCTGCCAACCTAGCAGTTGGAAAGCACGTAAAAATGCAAGTAGAAAAATAGGAACCACCTTTGGTGGGAAGGTAATAGCATTCTGTTTGCGCCTTCGGAGTTTAGTCATGCCGGCCACATGACCACGGAGACATCTTCGGAC